TGTGCCGTTTCGACCCCCGCCTTTTTTTTTTTTTTGGGGGGGGGGGGGGTTTCGGGCCATGCGCCAGACAGTCGTGCGCTGTACGGTACGGTCCGGCCCGTGCGCCAGACGTCTGGAACGTCGCGTACGACGTACGCTTGCAAGTATGGTTATTTCAATTCATTTTAAATCAGAAAACGATCCATTCATGCACATAAAAAATCACTCTGTATTTTCCAAAAAACCAGAAAATTGTGTCACACACACACACAAAAAAAAAAAAGGAATACTTCGCTAGTGGGTCTAGGCCCCTGGGGCCTTGGGGCCTAGACCCACTAGCGAAGTAATATACTTCGTAGTGGGGTTCTTGATCATGTGTGGCCCCCGGTGACAATATTCCATCGTTGATGCACCTCCATCTCAACGGCCCGAGGATTTGCCAACCGCGACAGAGTATAAGGGACGAGGGCAGCCAATCCCGCTCGAGGCAAAAGGGTTTCAGTCGGACTGAAAAATCGGCAGAAATGTTTTTCAAGTCTGGAAATCCAGACTTCAAAAACAGGGGGCGTTTTCAAGACTTCGCGCCCACTGAGTTTGGCCATGAAATGGGAAGACCGAAAAAGAAAATGTCTTCTGACACTCCGCAAACGGGGGTACTGTCATGCCCCCCCACTGAGTTTGGCCGTGAAATGGGACCGAAGGCAGAAAATGTCTTCTGACACTCCGAATACAGATTTGTTTCCCGATTAAAAAAATAGAAAAACATTACAACAAAACCCAAAAAGCACGTCACACATCGTAATTTACTTCGCTAGTGGGTCGAGGCCCCTGGGGAGTAATGGCACGTGCGGCTGTTGTGGGACACAGAGGAAAAAAGAAAAAGAAATAAATAAAGCCCTAATCTTTGCTTTTCTGTGCTCGACTATTACACTGAGGGGTTCATTGTCAGTTGATTGTTGATTGCTAGTTGATTGTTAGCTCAGTCACTTGATTGTTTTTTTTTTTTTTTTTTTTTTTTTTTTTTTAGTTGACAGTTAGTTGATAGGTAGCCGAAGAA